GAATAATACAAAATACCCCAGGTAAATTAAATATCTATATATTTTTACAGGGGCACCCGTGACAGAGGTCTGGACAGTAAGTCCTCCACTCCGCTCCGGACAATTACCAATTGATTAGTTCCCAACTCGATTAACTAATCGATTTTCGATTTAGAACACTATTTTAAAATTAATAATTAATATTAAAGAATAAAAAAGAGTGTAGCAACATAGTGTAATGATATAGTTATTACCTTCAAACAACTTGTAGCAAAGGTATAAAGTTTGATTCTTACTAAAGATGTTTTCAAACAACATATTTGTATTATCTAATTGATAATATATGCCTATATTACTTTTTTTATATTTTTCTATCTATTATACTGTATAATAACTAATAAAAATAAAAAAATATATAGAAAAAAAATAAGATATTACTATAAACTACTTTATTTTAAATAAAAGACTAAGTTTATATAGGTTTTTTGACAAATAATAAAAAAATAACAAAGAAATAACAAAGAAACAATAAAGAAACAAAATAATAAAGATAAAGAAACAATAAAAAATAATAAAAAACAATAAAAAAATAAATAATATTTCAAACATTATAACTAATTATTTTAAAAATCTTAATATTTAAAAATATATATATATATATATATATAAAAGATAAAAAAACAATAAAGAAACAAATACTTGTCTAATACAGTATTATATTAAAATAAATAATAATTCTAATAATATATAATATAATACTAATAATTTATAGAATAATATTTCTCTAATTGGTTACACTAGTCAAAATCTAAACAATTAGGCATATACTTTATTTTAAACCAATATATACGAAGTTAATACCAAATTGTAAATTTACTATATTACCAATTAATACAAATTAATATAGCAATTCGATTTGTATAAATTTATAAATAGGTAATTCTGATTGTTAGTACAAATTGGCATGCAATTAGAAGAGCTAATACCAACCTGATTTTAACATATTAAATAAATTTTTTTGCTATTAAAAAAGCTTTTTTTATTTTTTTTAACACTTTTACTAAAACGCACCTATGGTGTTTTTACACCATAGGTCCCGTTTCTCAAAAATGTACTAAGTAAATGGGATCGGGTTCTCTAAGTAAAAATGTTCAGGATCCCCAAAAACCTCACGAGAACTAAGATTGGGCCTTTATATTAGCTCTATAATATATTATATAAAAAAAAAAATTAATTCTTAATTTCCTAACCCTAACCCTAAATTTTATTAAAAGAAATTATACATAGGTGCTAAAACACCATAGATGCGTTTTATAATAATTGTATAAATTTATATAAATTTATTTATTTTTTCTTTTATTATAGAACAAAGGGTTGGCTACTCCTACAGAAGCACCAACACATCCATTATTCACATATAATCATTTATTTAAAAAGAAACCAAGTTTACAACTTTCTAATTCAGATAGATTATTATTTCAACCTTCAAGTTCATACTCATTTCCTAATTTATATACTCCATCACCATTTTATAATCTATTGCAAATGGTTTCAACATTTACTTTATCTTATTCGGATTTAGAGCCAACATCATATACTACAAGACAATTTCTACCTACTATCAGTGAATTTTTAAAATCAATTGATGAAAATGAAAATACTGTTGATTATTATCAAGGTTTTTTATTAAAATTTAAACAACAACAAATTTCAGTATGAATACTTTTAGAACTATCAAATGAAGAGCTTAAAGAATGTGGGGTAAATACTATTGGAGCACGACAAATACTTCATTACTATACAACCAAATATGTATAATTTTTAATTATATAACATATATGATATAGAAATAATATTTCTTTAATATAGCTTATTGCTTAATAATAACCTGATTCATTAAAAAAACTATTAGCAAGCAAGGGTATAATTTGTGAGCAAGCAATTAATAAAGGATAAATAGAATCAGAGCAACTTTCTACAAAATAACAATAATGTTTCAAATAACTTTTAATAAGTGAGAAGGCTATCTTTATTGGATTAAGATCTGGAGAGTATAGTAGAAAAAATTCCATATGCATACCAAATACATTTAAGTATTCAATTAATCCATCATAATGATAAATTCTTGCATTGTCAAGAACCAAAACACTTCTTGCATATGAGTAAGAATTCATTTGAAGAAGCTATATAAATAAAAATAATTAAATTATTGTTAAGATAATTTATACAATTTTATAAAATTTATTAAATACATATATACTACTTGTGAAATAACAAAGTTTTTAAATTTTTCTTTTGTACAACTACCTTATATAATGTCTACAGCAATAATACTATCTAAACTAAGAGCTGATAAAATTGTATAACGTTTATCATGAACAAATACTACTCTTTTTACAGCTCTTGTATTTACTTCAGAATAGCCATAACCATGAGTAATTGTTCTCTTATCTTTAGCTGACTCATCTAAAAAAATAAGCTGTTCACGTTTATATTGGGTTCCAATACATGCCATAAAGGCACTACGAAGTAATTTATTACATTCTCTTGCAATTTTGCTTAACTATTATAAATATTTAATAAATACATATTGTAAATAATTTAAATAAATATAAAAATTATAAATAAAAAAAATCTTTTTGTGTGTTATTCCGCAATATGCTAATGATCTCTATAAAGTAGAAATTGAAACATATTTGCCACTTTGAACTTCCATTTCCCATACTATTTCATCAAGATACCAATCGGTATTTTCTTGAACAATGCTTCGTAAAATCTGATTATAAAATTTATATTTTAGAAAATAAAATAAAAATAAATATTTATATTCATGTCATTTCAGTTAAAAGTTTTGCATCTTTCTGGTATTTGTCTCCAAGGATTGACAACTGTTTCCCATTTTTTATACAACTATAATACTTTATGTATTAAACCTTTACTAACAAAAAAAAGATCTGCAATTTGTCTTTTAGAATAACCACTATGCCGAAAAAATACTATACACTATTTTAAGTCTTCACTATATGCTGAAGACATTCTAAAAATTTACTTTAAAGATGCATTGAAGTAATTTTTAATTGATTGATAGTTGATTATAAAGTACTATAATTTTTAATTGATCGATAGTTGATTTATAAAGTACTATAATTTTTAATTGATCGATAGTTAATTTATAAAGCAAAATCATATAACATGTATAAATATTGCAAAATGACTACCGTTTTTAGGAATTTATTAAAAATTTCTTAATTCATCTATTAAAAATTTATTTTTAACTTAGAATAGTATTATTTTATTGAACTATAAAAACTATTTCTATCTTGAAATTGGTGAGAATCTTTCTTTGTTAGAAGCGAAAGTAAAAAAAAAGAAGAAAATTTGGGAAATATCATGAATTTCCCATGATAAAGTGATCCCTAATCATTCACACCTTTTTAAAAACAGCTATAATTGTTATAATTATTAGCATATTAAATAAAATTATTTTTATTTTATAACTAGTAACCTGTTGCTTCAACAATATTCAATAATTAATCTTTAACAGTTCATTTAGCCGCATCACAAAGTAAAATATATATTTTAAAAACATCTAATATAAGTTCGATATATTAATATTGGGAATTTTAAAAAATTTTTGATATTAATAAATAAAAACACCATGACAGACAAAAATACGTAATTTCTCAATAAAATATATAACTGATAATATAAGATCTAAATTATTAATATCAGGAATTTTTAAAAATTTCCGATATTAATGAATAAAAATAACGTGATAGACAAAAAATATATAATTTCTCAATAAATATATAATATAAGATCTAAATCATCAATATCAGGAATTTTTTAAAATTCCCGATATTAATGAATAAAAATAGCGTGACAGACAAAAAAATATGTAATTTCTCAATAAAATATAAACAAACTCTAATATAAGATCTAAATTATTAATATTAGGAATTTTTAAAAATTCCTGATATTAATGAATAAAAATAGCATGATAGACAAAAAATACGTAATTTCTAACTCTGATATAAGATCTAAATTATTAATATCAGGAATTTTTTAAAAAAATTCCCGATATTAAATGCATAAAAAATAGCGTGACAGACAAAAAATACGTAATTTCTCAAT